ATAAAACAATTTAGAAGCATACAAAAAATAAATAATTGCCTTCCAAATAATTTTAAGACTTATAAGTTCTTCCTCTTGGCAAATACACCAAAATGTGAACTAGTTAGAAGTTTATTGTAGTTCACAATAAGTGAATTAACTTTATAAATTTTAATAGTTATTACTATTAATTAAATCTTAATCAAATCATTCTTTATTACTTTTAAATAATTTAAGAAATGAAGTCAAACTCTATTGCCAACTCACCTTTACAATTAATAAGTCACTTGACAACTCCATGTAATAAAATTTCTTATATATATATATATATATATATATATATAAATTCTATTTAATTAATATTCATCCATTGATAAAATTTTATCATCAAATAATTATTCATCAAAGTATAATTTTTTCATTTCAAGTATAGAAATTCATTTAAATACTTCATCCAAGGTTCAAATTTTCATCCAAGTGATTTGACCTAAACCTAACCTAACTTTATTTGAGTCTAACCTAAATCACCTAGAATGAATTATCCGACTGAGAACCTCACTAACCTGGAGGGGTTGTTGTCGGCAGCCATGTGCACCAGCTCTTAATCCGCAAAGCTGCTTGATTCCATTGTCAAGAGGAATCACAGGTTTTCCTTTGTTCACAATCTCGACTACAATGGATCAACGTAGAAGGCGAGTACGCTTGACTTGTTGAAATTGAAGGTTGCACTGTCTTTCCAACAAAATAAAAACTTCACAAAAATTCCCTAGTTTAGCTTTGAGGACTTCCCTTCTAAAGTTACGTGACTCTAATGGCCAGGCCGTGGGTCACTCGTTGCATGAGTCAGTTTTTAAAAATTCATTCTGACTTCGATTTGATTGTCGGATCTAAGCTTGTCAAGAGCAACCATCATAGGGCACTTGCTTAAGGGTACCATCTAATTTTACTAATCCGAGGCATTCATCTAAAGGAATCCAAGACACTCTAATTAAAAGCAATTCATAATGGATGGTATATTCTGGCCGTATGAAATTTTAACAAGGTCTTGGAGGATGACTACGACATTAACATCAAGGGCTCACAAGGCAGCAACCTCACGCATAATTCATGATGTTTCAAATCCAAAACCCAACTTCTGCAGTGTGTATGTTTGACATTGTGTCAATAAGCACATCTCTAGTACAACTAGGGTCGTGTGTGCCAAGGCTCCTGAACAACATGAGGGTTGCTGCTGCTGCCTTAACCAGATCTCAAGAATCTCTGAGCCACTACTCAGTTCCTCCTACCTTCGGCATGTTCAGTCTTGCAAACCACCATCCACTACACTGATCTCGTATCAACAAAAACTCGGTGCAGGGCTCTACTCTCTTCGTACTACTAGGATTGATTCTTCAGCAGAAATGCAAGGATGGCCAAGTTTCAGCACACGGAACCTATGCGACACGCCCTAGTAGCCGCGAAATCACGTCCCCATGAACAACTCTTACAGATGCGCCTCCGATCCAGCTCTCCAACACCGCATTAACCGTAAGGAGTTGCCGCTCTACTTCAAATTCAGCAATCCGCACCAAAAAAATAAATAAAAACAAGAAAAAACAACAGGATGCTTCTTGGACATGTTCACGGTTCAAAGGTCGACGACGACATCTCCACAGATTGCTGCATTGAGAGCTTGTTTGATCTGTAGCTCCCTTGGCATACAGAAGAGAAGGAAGGAAAAGAATCGGCGACTACCTTTTTTATTGCAACATCGGCGCAATATAACGCAGCACCTTACAAAAATTGAATTTCTTGCACTAAAGCATAGATCGACCCCGTGCGATACCGCAAAACAACTGCCTCAACAACAAAGAATTATCAAATCCAAAGCGACGTTGTAGAGAAGAGAACCCTCAGTCTCTTCCAGTCGCTGCAGCACTTCCGTGATATGAAGGAGGATGGACAACGGCTCCGAAGAGTGGAAGCTCGTGAATTGCAAAGAACAAAAGAAATCCGGCCAGGTGGATTGAACACAAGAACTAATCCAATGAAGCTCCAAACAGTCCTCTGTCGATCTACTATCCACAAAACTTGCTTGAGATATTGCCGCAACACAATCAAGCACCACACGCACGTCGTAGCCGCCCGGATCCGACCACAATTTAAGATCGGTCTGTAACGAGAGGGAGAAAACCACCACTGCCAAATCACGTCGACCGCCTTGACCTTGGCTGCACCACAGTCACCAAAAACAGCAACTGCCTAGGAAAGATCAGAAAAAAAGAGGACAAGAGGTCTGTCAGCAACTCTGATCCTTTTTTTTCTTTCAGTGCCGCCGCAACACATTCTGAAAAAACACTAGAAGAACGACAAAAACATCCCCACCTGGAGCGGCACTCCCCCAAACCAAAAAAAAATGAAAAAAAAAAAAAAAACAGAAGGGAGCTGATCCGGGGCAGCCCGGACCCCTATCGGCGAGGAGGTTGCCGCATTCAGGAATAGCCTCTCGCCTCCTTGATCACCTTTCTATTATTTTATTTTATTTTATTTTTCCTTTTTTCTTTTTTTTTTCTTTCTTTTTTTTCATTTTTTTTCTTCTTCTTCCTTCTACACTTTTTTTTAAAAAAATTTACTTTTTCTTTTTTTACCTCTTTTTCTCTCTTTTTATTTTTTTATTTTATTACTTTATTTTTTTTAATAATATATATATATATATATATATATTTTTAAGAACTATTAATAAAATAGATTTTTATTTTTTTTCCTTTTGACAATGAGGGCTACTTCCATTCGCCATTATCTAATGTTAACTACAAAAAAACTTATTCATCATAGAAATTTGTCTTAATAAATACTATATTAGGCTGCATATCTGCTATGAGCAATCTATTTTCTATTTTTTCCTAAAAATTCTACTACTAACTCACAAAATCTATGATTTTAAGCACACTAAATGTATTTTTTATACTAAATACTCAAGTGAGTCAATTCACTAACTCACACATTTCAATTAAAGTTGATATTAATCTATCCTCTTTGTTCTCTACAAATTAGTCTCAAAATACAAAGCATCTAGAAGACTTAAATTAAGATACCCTTTATAGAATTTTATTTCTTGCTATTTCTTCAATTAAATCAAATATTAAAGTAATTGCTATCAATTGTTATTTAAATAGTCATTTAAATTGCTATCATTCATGTTTTGCTTCTTTGTACTTTTTTTTTTTGTCAAAAAACAACATTTAAATTCTTAATAATAACAAATGCAAAGGTGTACAATTCTCTTAAATAAATATATATAATTGGATATGAATGATTTGTTTTCACCAAAAGAATAAAGAACAATACAAACACATCTAATCAACTATGGGCCTCACTATATTTTTCTTGAGTTATTAATTTCTAGATAACTAAGAACAAAGAAACAAATTCAAGACAATAGTTTCTACCCACCACCATCACATTGCACTACTTCTTTGTTCTTAAAGTAGTAATCTCAAAAGCTATATTGTATGATAATTTTAGCATACTAGTTATTATACATAAGCGTTGACATTGCATGCTTAAAGATAAGTTTAGTATACAAAAAACTGTTGGATTGTATCATCTTCATAGTTTTTATATTTATTTAAAATTATTGTTATTGTTAATTTTTTAGTATTTAAAGGAGACTTGCCTTGTTCATTATAAGTTTTTCAGCTTATAAAGTTTGAGCTTCTATCACTCCTTCTACATAAAATATGTTTTTTCTTGTCTAAATGCACTGCATGCCTAAGTTTTACATTAGATCTTGTCTAAACACACCGCATGCCTAAGTTGTACATTAGATCTGTTAACAAAGCACAATATGCAAAAGCTATTTACATTAGCATTAATAAAAAGTTTAATTGTATGTTACTTTATTCTTGAAAAATATTACATTATTAATTACTTGCATTTTTTTGTTTTTGTTATTATTGTAAGACTTTGTTTTGTTATTATGTTCAAATAAATTGTAGTTGTGTTTGAATAAAAGAAGTTTTTTTAGTGATGTATAAAATATCTTGTTTTATGTCTTGTGATAAAGAATTTAGTGTTTGTTTTTCTTAGTATTTGAAAACTCTTATGATTCGGCAACGGTGGCGGATGCGAAACAGGAGGCGGAGGAATTACGAGTGCAAGTATTTGAGTGTCCATTTGCGAATTGGGTTGCAGATTGAGAGCCTGCGGGGGCATGAATCAGCAACGGGCTTTGGATGCAGAATTAGGGTTTCACCTGCGAGTGCTTCTGCTTCGAGAGAGGTGGAAGAATTGCAGGCCATGGTGGTCTACACCCTGCTTCCTCTACTTTACTCTGTTTCTCGCCCATAATATGCTGCCATGCTTGTGGAGAAGTCTGTCGTTTCCTCTGTCACCGTCACTTGTTCAGCTCCAAAGCAATTGCCCTAATGTCAAGCTTTACACACTTAACATTTCAACCCTCACCCACGGAAGCATTTGTCACTATTTTATTGCGGCTACGTACATAAAGAAAGTGAAGCGTAGAAGCCGATTCTCCGAAGGCTGGCGTCTGCCTTTCAGAGGCCATACCTTGAGACTTACACTAGGGTTGTTTTATAACAAGCTTGGATGATATGGAGGGAGCTGCGATCACCTCAGCCCTTACGTGACGACTTCATGGGTCAATTCGCCTGCGCAAATGAAACCGAAGTTAGCTCTTAACTGTTCTTCAAACGCGACGCATTTCTCTTCGACAAATATCCTCATGCCGATGACCACAGATCACGGAACAACAGCGCTTCTTTCGACGTGTTGCCATCGCCATCACCATGACGCTTTGCCCACGTCCGTTCAAATTTAACCCTACCAGCTGCAAAAAACCCACTTCACGGTGCGACATCCAATGGTTTACAGGTCCTGGAGTAGCCTGAACGTGGTCATGGATGGCGCAGGTGAAAAGTTTGTAGATTAACCCTTTTGAATTAGATTCGTTCATTCGTGTTTACTGCTGTGACCTTATCCGTCGTTGGCACCGGGACCACACTTTTATCTGCTGGGCAAGATAGACGGATGCTGAGATGCTTGCAAGTGCAGCCTTGCAAAGTTAGCCACAAATCTGCTCGTCTCTCTCAGTTACGCCCCGTGGCTGCTTCTTCGTTAAATCAATGGCCATTCATCTTGTTTGCATCCTGGCAGCTATAACTTGGGTTTTAAAGTCCAATTGTTAACGTTTGATGCAAGCGAAGTCTACTTGGGTTTGTGGGTGTCTGGTACAACACTTGGTCCAGTTTCTTGTGAGAGTTTAGAATTGAGAGGCTGGAAGTGGGAGGTTGAGAAGGTGCAATGGAGGTCGCCATGGCCTGCACTACTATGGGACCTTTTAAAATAGAAGCACTGGCACCAAAACAATCTTCGTTCAACAGCCGAATTTCAGTTGTGAATCTTTCCAATGCCGGTTTCTTCTCTATTCGCAATGGAAATCGCCATTCTCAACCCCATAAATTCTCTGGAGTCCGTGCGTGCCTGCCAGTTGATTCTTCTTCAGGCGACACCCAAGCGGACGAAGGCTTAGCGGACGCTGGATCCAAGAATGAGACCAAGAAGTTGTCGAATCAATCGTCGTGGGAAGCTACAGACGTGTTGGGCAATGACTACCTCTACCGCCTCGGCAAGGAATCGGACAATCTCAATATCACTGTGGGGGCGCGTACAGGAATGATCGACAGCCTCTTCACGGGAGATTTCTTGGGTAAAGAAGGTATGTATCGCTCTTTACTCTCTGTACACCTGCAACCATAGCTCGCAATTCTCGAATACAATCGTAGACAAGATTTGAAACTAAATGCCTGTTCTTTAGCACATATACGTGGAGGATGCGGATCCAGCATTGCTGATCTAAATTGAAGGTCAAATGAAGCACAATTCAATTCTGTGAAGACTGACAATATATTCCTGTGGTGTTACTGAGTTCTGTTGCAGCGGACATCGTCTTCAAGTATCGCCAGAAAGTGACGCGTTCATTTGAGCATATTACAGGAGATTACTACATCGCCCCTGCGTTTATGGTACAATTTTAATTCTTTACACTCTCGCATCAGAAACCCTATCCCTGATGATCTCACATCCTTGGGTCAAACTTCTGTTGTGGTGCTGGTGGAACCATTGCCCTTCTTATGAATATCATGCTACATGTAGAGGTGTTGTTTCCTACTAGCTGAGCCCTGTGCTAATTCTGTTCATGGATGTGGACATGTAGGATAAAGTGGGTGAGTTCAATCATTAGGGCCTGCCAATGAAACCATCTCTTCTTGTAGCAATTAATTGACCACCTTCGTACAAAAAGACAGAGCTTACAAGCACCTTACTGTTGGACGTATATTTCGTTGCAAGCATTCCGCGTGTAAATTGATTCTACACGCAAGAAGGAGAAAGTAGATAGTGGTGCATTGTCCAATAGCATGAAGGTGGAGTTTCAGACAGTGGCATTATATCAGCTGATCTATTATCAGCATTTTTGAGAAGATGATTGCACTTTCACTTGACCCAGTTTGTGTCGGGGGATTGTTCCATTGCCGCATGCAGTGACGCACATTGTCAAGAACTATCTGGCTGCACAAATTGACGGCAAAGTTCCTCTCATTTTGGGTATATACTACCTACTTTTCTGCTAAATAGAACAATGTATGGTCCTGTCCTTGAACTTACTGTCAATTTTTCCAAATTTTAATTTTGTATGTAGGTGCTCTTTAATTTGCATAGCAGAATGTATCACAGAACATTCTGCTATTAATAATCTGGGTATTATAGCGAGGGTATCCTCCTTGAAGCAAATTAACATTTGATGGACGAACTATACAACACATTTATCACAATGTGAAGTGAGTTCCCTACTTGAAGTGTTTCAGAGTTTCTGAGCCGTCAATGGCAGGTGTCTGGGGAGGAAAGGGTCAAGGCAAGTCTTTTCAGACAGAGCTAATATTCAAGGCAATGGGTATTGAACCCATTATCATGTCTGCCGGCGAGATGGAATCAGAATGGGCAGGTTTGTTTTATGACGGAACTTTTGTTGCAGAGGTTGCAGCGTGCTCATCGATCTTGAGTGATTGGGAACTGTGGTCTCACTGTTGAATTTGTTAGCTAGTAGAGCATATCAGTCAATTGTATCAGTCCTGTACCAGAAGATGGTACAGCTTAATTGCACAAAATTCCTCAAATATTTTCTAATCTCGCAGCAACGATAACTACATTGTCTGGCAGGAGAACCTGGTAAGCTGATTCGAGAACGTTACCGAGCCGCACATCTTGTCATAAACAACCAGGTCAGTTTAAGACTTAGAATTTGATGAGTGTGATTGAAACGTAATTAGTGATGCGTACGAATTGCTGAAAAAGGAAGCATCCTCATGAATATCTGTGACGTTGGGCTGTAGGATCTTCAAGCTTAAAATGTTTCTTGCGAGATCTGAGAATTTTAGCTGTTTACATTTTTTGGCATTTCAGAGAACAGAAATTTTCAATCCTACCTTGAATTCAGAGAATCGTTGTAATGTGTGGACACAAGTCTGTTGTTATGAGCACATTACTACTGGAATATTAATGATTATCTTAAAACTCTGTCTAGAGTATGACTAAACTTTAATTTTAGGTTTTTGATAAAAAGGTGACAATTTGAATTTCGTATAAATTCAGAGTTAATTGCCTTATGTTCCAATTGTACATCAGTTTGAGTTGAGTGTGGTGTTAGATTTGCACGTAAGAAACTTTAAAATTGTCGGTCCCTTGCCTGGATTCAATTTTCACTGTCAAGGTTGTCTCGTTCTACATTCCATATGGCTGAAGGTCAATACCTGCATTTTTTTTGCAGGGAAAAATGAGCTGTCTGATGATTAATGACCTCGATGCTGGAATAGGACGATTTGGTATGAATTTTCTCTTAGATAAGATGGATTGAGTTACTGTGCGAGCTACTTCCCTGTTTTAAGTTTATTCCTGACTACATTCCTTAGAACTGTATTAGGTGTTTTGATATTAAGTTTGAAGTTTAGCGGTTAAATGATTTGCTATTTCTCTAAAACCTGTTCCTGATGTTCTTGTGGTTGCTTTCAAGTTTTATTGATTTTTGGTGGGTCTTGTACATGCAGAAAATACGCAAATGACGGTCAATAACCAGATGGTGGTTGGCACACTTATGAATTTAGCTGACAACCCCAATCGTGTGAGCGTTGGGCAGGCATGGCGAGAGGCTGATATTGTGAATCGTGTGCCAATCATTGTTACTGGGAATGACTTCTCTACAATTTGGGCACCTCTGATTCGAGATGGTCGAATGGATAAATTCTACTGGTAAGCAAAGTATAACTCTATTCTTTCTCTTTCCGCCTCCCCTTCTATGAAGTTATTAGTCATCATTTTCATTGTCCTCTACCATTGGTGTTAAAATAAATTCTTGATTGCAGGCAGCCAACGAGGGATGATTTAGTCAAAATTGTGTACCAAATGTATAAGAAAGATGGTCTTAGTGAAGCTGATATTGGTTTCATCATCGACACATTCCCTAACCAAGGTACTATACCTAGTATGCACTACGCCTTATTGTATGGTTAGGTCGCTTCTTTGGTTTTTAAGACATTCAGAGTATCAACGGTTTGTGAAGCCGGAACCAGTTAGTGCTTTAGAAGTTCCAAGGGCGAATTGCAGTTACTGCTGTTGAATGGTGTAGAATGTGAAGTTAAGTGGGATAACCTCAAAGGTGCAAGCATGTGATTTTCTTAAACACGCGGTTTGGAAACAGCATTGGACTTTTATGGCGCTCTCAGGTCGAGGACATACGATAAGCACGTCCTGGAGGTACTTGGGCCAAAAATCACCGACTCGTCGTCCATTCAGCATTTAGGTATAGGAGGCGCTATTTCATTTCGAAAGGCGTGACAGAATCGTGAATCTGACATGCCTTTCTGGCTTTGTAGTGGGTCAACGAGATTGGAGGAGCTGAACAAATAGGACCAAAGCTTCTTCGGCGTAAAAAAGGCGATGCACCTCTCCCAGAATTTATAGCACCAGAGGTATGTATTTTCTTCCCATATTAACGGTTTTCACAGAACTGTCCAGGTCTTAATTTATCCAAAAATGATAGGAGATTTTCCATACTAGAAGCCCTATATTATCTTTAATCCTCGGAAGGCCAAAGTATATGACCCAACGATCAATAGTTGATATTACAACACTTCCAAGAATAGTTTGTGTTTTCCTGCTAAGGCTTTAAATTGTCGTTCCAACAATAAACCCCAGGGCCTCTTACCATTAACTGGTGATTGGATATCTGTTTTTTCTCAGCAAAACGTGGACGATCTTATCAAGGCTGGTTATGAGCTTGTGGAAGAGCAGAACATGGTGAACAACATGAAGCTCTCAGATGAGTACATGAAAAAACAAACAGGTCCAGGGGGTGGTCTTTCTATTTCAGCTTCATAAGCAGCTCATCGAAAGGCACAGTTGTATCATATTCGGTTACTTTGTTAGCGAAATGAGAATGCTGAAGATGTTGCAGATAATCCTATTCTGGAATAATGCCAGATGAGAGCGTTAGTAGACTGTAGTAATGGCAAACACATTATTACCATGGAATTTGTTTTGATTTAACCATTGAAGACGTAATAATATTGCCAAGCTGGGTACCGGCTGAATATTCTACCATGTTCATATTCTGCATCATGGCACTTATTTAAGCTCATGAACACTCAACCGTAGTCATAAACTGCCCTTATTTACACCCAAAGTATCCTCTTAAACTGCCTAAGGAACTGTTCAATTAGAAGATACAGACCAGTACGCATTTAATGCTGATTGTGTAAAAAGTATGGCAAAGCAAGTAATGAATTAAATAGATATATATATATATATATATATTACTGCTGAAAACGTTGTGATCATCTCTGAATCAAGCTTGCGTAATCTAGCTATTGAACGAACGATTCCAGTTGACAGTTGTAAAAACAGTTGTTATGTTTTGATATCATTCCACAATTTGAATTATAAGACTACTGAATGTCCCTTTATACATATATATATATATATATATATCTGTGTATATAATTATTTTTCAAATTTACAAAATTGCACAATAATAAACTGTATGAACACAACGTTGTATAATGTAAATTCCATTTTCAACGTTGTATTTACAATACATTTAATGTCTTCAAATGTAAAAGTTTATATTGTCTTAGTTAATTAAAGATTACCAATTTGTGGCTAATAATTTTAGAGAATTATGTAATGGCAAAACATATTAATATTCAAATACATCCTAGAATATATATATATATATATATATATATATATATACACAATTGTGCATTGTATAAAATTTTAACATTTCAAAATTATTAGTATATCCTTAAGAAATGCTCATTAAATTTATGAATTTTTGTATTATATATGTTTTTTATTTTACATTATACTGTGTTAATTTAAACTATTGAAAATATCAAATATCATATAAATGTTAGGAATTAATTTTGTAGTTATATAAATTGTTTCACAGATTTTGTTGAATATGGATTATTAATAAATAAAAATTTGTACACTGAATAAATTTTACTTTCCACATCCATTTATGGATTTAAGTTAAAACTCATGATTTGTCTTACTGTTAAAAGTGTGAAATTACAAGTAATTATTGAAAAAAATAGAATCCAATTGTTAAGAACAAAAATTCATATTCACTTTTTAAACATGTCCATTTACTTTTAAAATTTTGAAATCATATTATACATATAAATATAAATATATATATATATATATATAGTAAAGCTACTATTTATTTGTAGCTTACATGGATTGAAGGTGTCTCTTGATACCCTTGCTATTTGTTATCCAATAAATAATGTCTGTTGACATCCTAATTGCTTGCAAACGTTCACATTCTCTTTCTCATTCTTCAGTAATGTTTTAACCTAGCATCTCCCATTCCATGTCCTCTCCATCCCAACCCCCGTATTCTCTGGTTTCAGCTTTCATTTTAGGCCAAGATCATGCAAATGCAACCCCCCATTGCCACAAATTATGATGTGTATGCTCTCTGTTGAGAGATAGTAGAGCCACCTACCCTGTCAATGTAATGGACCAAGCTCCTCTAGGCCATCCACCTTCCTTATCATAGATCAACCCCACCTTGGTAAGTGTCCTTTTATTATGCTCTTCCCCACCCTTCTACCACCCACCCTTGCTCTCCTACTCCCTCTGCCTCACACCATGCTTTGCCCATTGCATGTCTCTACCTCCATTTCTCACTCTCTCACCCTCCTTGCTACAACCAACATCTCGCCTTAGAATCACCCTATTGCTCCCTGCCTCTTACACACCCTATACCTTCACTATCACCCAATATCATACAACTCTCATTGAGAGAAGAACAAACACAAATCAATTGGGATTGTACAAGGGAGATGGAAATTGAATTTATATAGATTCATTGAAGTTCTTGTATATGCACTTAGCATTGAAGCTGCCAGTAATTGATGATAAATTTTGTTTTTAATCCAATGCAAAGCAAGAGAACCAACACTAGTATCCATGTATATATATATATATATATATATAGATATTGGAATAGTTGTTGTGAAATACCAAAAAACTGAAGAATCATAATAAATACTAGATAACAAAAATGGCATTGACATACCTAAATATAAGTTAATCTTGTCTTCACAAATACTAATGAATTCAAATGCCATGTGAAAACTTCTTAAAAATCATTAAACTTACAATACAAATGTCTAATATATAGAAAAAATTAAAAAAACTCACTACAACTGCATTAAACATCTAAAATACCAATAAATCCAATAATACATCTAAAAACCTTTTTGAACATTTCTTAGAAAAGATATTGACTACTTACTCAATCAATCAATCAATCAATTTTATCTATCTATCTATCATTGGAAAATACACCCAATTCATGGTCCATTTGAGTGATCAGACTATAAAATGTGATTCATATTGTTTTTGTTTTTTCCTTTAAAATATATATATACATATAGAGCCATGTAAGTTCAATTTGTTTTCCACTCCCGCAACGCTCGCTCAGCATTCTACAGATGGATCGATCCATAGGTATGTATATCTACCAATTGATCAATCCACGCATCCACCAATCTAACAATCAATCTACGTATAGAAATCTACCGATCTGTCTGTCAAGCTTATTCCTAGTACCACCAGCGCCGTCGACTACCTCGAGGTCTCAGAAACAATCAACCCCAGCGGCGGCGCAACACCGCAACATGTCCAGATCCATATGGACATCGCAAGAGAACGATCCCGAGAACAACAAAACAACAGACACAAATCCATGATGATGAAGAGGATGAAGAAGAAGATTTGTTTGATAGAATGGTACAGCATAGCAGTATGCGAAGAAATCGCGGTACAACTCTTTCGGCTGCCCAGCAACGTCGAACGATCAACATTCATGCGCATGTTGGCTGGATTGGAGACACTATCCATTACAATTGGGTTGTTGTGTCTGTGCGAAGAGGATGGAGGGAATTGGGAGTTGGGGAGTGCGGCGACTTGGTGAGAAGAGTCGTGGCTTGGCGTCGAAGAGAACGGTCACACAGGAAAGCGGGCGAGCTCATCGTGGTTTCATCTCCATGCTTATGGATGATTGCATTGTGTCTCTAGAACGGCTTGTCATGAGATCGTCGGTCGATGTCCAAGACATGTCGTGTTGGAAGGTGGCGTTCTTCTTCGGAGGCCATCTGTCCGAGGCTTTTTTGAAGGAGGAGTCGGCGGAGGCTGACGAGTCGCTTTTGGCCCACTCACTTGGGGATTCCGGTGCGACAGTGTCCCGCAAGATTGTTTCCAAGTCGCGCGTCACCTCCACCATTTGGGGTCGTTTGTCCATGTCCGTGTCCACGCAGGTAACCGCCAGGTCTAGAAGCGCCTCGACGCCTTTGGGTGGGTAGGATCCCATGCACGGATCCACAAGGTCCTTGAACTTGCCGTCTCTCACGGCGTCTTGTACCTGCACCATGCATTCAGCAGCTTAGTTGCTTCATTTGAAAGGCTTCGTCTTCGAATAGGTTCCATCATCTTTCACCGATCTCCTCCCCTCCCATGTTCTCCTCGAAGTCGGGCTACTTTGAGAAGGAGCAACTCTAATTGGCACAAACTCTACTTTTCCAAACATCTCTAAAGAAGGAAATTGACTGTCGTTCTGTTTTATTCACGATATGGCTGCTCTTTTCCTTGATGTAAAGGCATGCAGGTGGGAATTTCATGAGACTACACGGAATGAAAAGGACCCAAATTTTCTCTGAAGAGAAAATCTTGCTTAGCAAAAACTACCAATATCTTTATAGGCAAGTCTTGACGATGCATGTTGGACAAGACTGTGAGTGGCATTAAAGTGCTACCGTAATTCCTGAAAAACTCTGAAAATTTCATTACCTCTCGTACGAGATTCCTCCCTTGAGCGATGGGCAACATGCCAGTCAGCAGCTCTAGCAATACCACACCAAAGCTGTAGACGTCGCTTTTGTCCGTTAGTTTGTTTGTCATGAAGTATTCCGGGTCCAAATAGCCCTTCAAGCAATCACATCAAAACGGCGAGTTAGTTTCAAACTGACAGTTAATTTCTGATAACATCTCCAGTCATTTTTCGCAACGAAGAAAACAGACGAATGCTTTGCAGAAGAAAACAAAGAAATGTTTGTACTGTAGCACAAGTTTATAGGTTAGCAAGAAGAAACTCACCGGAGTGCCCCTGACGTTGGTCGAAATGCCTTCAGGAGTGCTACCACTCATCTCTGGAGTTGGAGCTAGTTTGGAGAGGCCGAAGTCGGCGACCTTCGCATTCAACTTGTGATCCAGCAGTATATTGCTCGCCTTGATATCACGATGAAAAATTGGAGGATCAGCCTCGGTATGAAGATAAAGAATACCCTTGGCAGTCCCAAGTGCAATTCGCACGCGAGTTGCGTAGTCCAAGATCTCAGTGGCTGCAATGGCACATTGGGCATTCCAAATTCAGGATGGATCAACCTCTTGATATTTCAGGAAAAGAGAGGGAAATAAGAAACCCAGAGTGTAGCAAATAAAACTTCAGAGTCAAAGGAACTTACGGATGAGATGGTCTCGCAGATTTCCCCCCGGCATGAACTCATAGATCAACATCTACAGCCAGAAATTCCAGCGTGAGCTTGACACATTACTCAGTTCCCTTGAAACATAGCAGGAAAATGAAAAACGACGGATGAGATAGCCACGAAGAGTTCAACGATTTTTACAAACCTGCTCTCCCTGATCGTTACAGAAGCCGATTAGAGAAACGAGGTTTCGATGATGAACCCTAGATAGCAGCTCAATCTCGGTATAAAACTGCTCTGAGCCCTGAAGAGATCCTCCATCAGCTCGCTTCACGGCAACTACTGTCCCATCGGGAAGGAGGCCTTTGTACACATGGCCATAGCCGCCTCGCCCAAGCGTGGAGTCGACGTGGAAGTTATTTGTTGCCTTCTGAACTTCCTCAAACGTAAACGCTTTCACTCCCGCAAGCTTTAGACCCGGAGGCATCAACGCCAGGCTTCTCTCAGCTGCACCGGATCACACACTTCGAGCTTCAACTCCATGAACAAGCTGCTTTAAACGATATCAAGTGCAAATAGAAACACTCTCACAGAAACTCAAACGTGGGCTTACCAAAGCTTTTCGCCGGTACTTTGGTCCAGCGCCTGCGATACCACCACAAATATGCAAACACCAATAGCGCAGCAGCCAGAACGAAGCATCCCACGGCAATTGCAGCAATCGCACCTTTTGAAAAGCTTTTCGAAGTATCCTTCGTCACTGCAAAAAAGAACACGCAGATGCTTCACCATTCACTCTTTCCATCTCTCCAGAAACTTTAAGACGTATAAATTTCGGTACATCGCAAAGAGCTTTTCACCAAGAGCCACAGAAGTTCACCCTCTGTGAAATACAGCAGCTCGTAAGGACCGATCACGGAGAGTGACCATTCGGAACCAGCCGACATCTCCCAATTGGCAACAATTTTGAAGATCCGCTCATACTCCGTTCTGCTGAATGTTTCGTTCAGGGGAAAGATATAGATCACCATGAACAAACGAGGGCCTGGTTGCCATTCCAAAACTCCAATCTGTAAATGCGATTCGGAGATTCTTAAAACATTCGTAACCAGAGAGTAGAACTCGTTTTTGAAGCGACTGAAGAAGGTGAAGCTCGGGCTCTTCAGTCGGATATCCATCTCAATAGGCTTCGCACAACGACATTTTCCAGAAGATTCAAGCACGGCCATCTGGGGAAGGTCGCACTGCGCGCATCCCGCTGTACTGCCAGTGGCAAGGTCTCTCACCGTTTGGTTACTCTGCTCTACGCAGTACTTCAGTCTATAATTATCCGCAAGGTAGTTGGCGTTTTCACATATCGGATTTCCAAAGAGTCTGTCGCAACCATTACAATAAATCTTGTCAGAAGATCTAGCAAAGAGTCAAAAGGATGTCAATCCAAATGTTGAGGTTGAGTCCTGTCGTCAATCATCTAGCTAGGTGTCTTGCTTCAGAGAAAGGTCTGTCAAGCTGGTTAGTCTTAGCGTTGAGGAGTATCGTTTGCTAGTGAAGCACCTGATCGTCATATTCTCGTTTGTTTCGCCCGCCTGGGTAGTTTTGAGGTCTATGCCGGTGAGCGAGTTGTTGCGGAGGTCTCTGCAAGCAAATTTCGCAGGGCTAACATGTCAATGCCTAATTTTGCAGCATGTAAATAGCATCAACATGAAACCGCAAGCGAAGCTCCTGGTCTACATATAGGGCTATAAACTTACAGAACAGTCTGCTGGCTTTTATTCTTGAAGCTTGCCGCAGTTCCCAGAGTGTCGGGGATTGACCCGTTGAAACTGTTGTAAGCAAACTGCCTGTTTGCAGCAACCAACCGATGTTTCAGTCTTACTAATGTGACGCTTTCAACCTTACTCCATTTTTTCGTTTGATATGTTTCGGTGGTTCAGGGAATCGATTCTAGCATTCCTACACAAGCTTTTCAGTCATTAACAATACTGTTACGGTCAGGAAGCACTCACAAGGCTTGAACATCTTGAAGACCTCCGACTGTGGCAGGAATTGCCCCAACGAGGTTATTCTCCGAAACAGTACTGTCAACACAGGTAAGATCACATATCTGGGTCAGTATCTGTTGAAGCTAGTCTGTCTTATGATAATCGACATCGAGTGATACTATATATTTCACGAACAGAGCGACGTGCTATATAAACAGAAATAAATTTACATACGCCAGTCATTGGTGAACTGCATCCAGAAGCTTACATGGTTACAAGCTTCGAAGAGAAGTTGCTCGGAAAAGAACCCTCAAATTTGTTCTTGCTCAAATCTCTGCAGAAACAGACGAACTCAGCATGATATTAGAAATTCGCTCCAACTATCATCAGAATGCAATTTAAGTGGTTCAGTGCGGCTCAATGACCACTAAAACAGAAGTCGGATCTTTTCACAAAGAAACTCGCGTGAACCTTTTCTTGTCAGAAATTACTTACAAATAAGTCAAATTTGTGGCGGAAACAAGGTCAGGGATTGGTCCTCCCAGTGAGCAATTCCTTGCGCTCCTGTAAAGACATGAGCGAGCAGTCAATCGCTAAAACATGAAAGAAAACAAGAACAACAATCAAGAAGGTACTAGATCGAAAGACAAAGTGTGCCAAGAAATTGTGCTTACAATTTTATGAGCGAAGGATTCTGGAGCCATTCAACTGGAAGAGTGCCTCCAATGAGAGGATTATTATCCACTTGTCTGCGAGCACATTCAATAGCAAAAAAAAAAAAAAAAAAAAAAAAAAAAAAAGGAGCTATGTTATTTAGGCAATTCCAGAACCATTCATATAACTGGGGACCTCATTCTGTAGATTATTTTAATGTAACAGAACCTGATTGAAAAATAGTTCAAAAGATGAGATAAACTTACAAGATCAGAATATGCGGCAGAGATCCGAGAGCCGCAGGCAACGGACCTGACAAGTTGTTGTTGTCTACCAGCCTGAAATATTCAAGGTTTTGTAAGAAACAGGCCTGATTTCTTACAAAACCTTGAATATTACTGAAACATCAATGATCAGTAGAATTTGATGCAGATAAACAAGTAGGAGGTAAGGAGCGCTTACACATGTAGGAGATAAGAGGTGTTGCTGTAAAGCTCGGTCGGGATTGGTCCAGTGAGTGAGTTGTTATTGAGATGCCTGTGTAATAGATAAAACCAGAAGTAGTCAATGTAACACTAGAAGGGTGAAGACGGTGATGAGAGGACGTTTGGAAATTTTCGTCACTTACATGTGTCTGAGACTAGTGAGGTTAGCAAGGCTTGGAGGAATTGTGCCGTTGAGAAAGTTCTCGTCAAGCTGAAGCCTATTCAAACCCGTAAGTTTACCAAGTTCTGGTGGAATTGGCCCCGTCAATTCGTTCTCGTTCAGAAGTCTGCACAATCCACAAAAAAATACAAACATCAGGTTAAACAATTGGTCGTTCAGAGATTTTTTGAGTAACTCATCAGTGTTCAAGTAAAATGAAGAGGACGTAAAATTCCACAAGAATTTCGGCCAACTCACAGGCGAATGATGGCTTTCAAATTTCCGAGCTCTGGTGGAATACTGCCTTTGATCCTATTTCTCATCAGGCCCCTAAATTCGTACAGAAATATTTTAATCAGTAAAGGAGCATATTGAACAAATATCATGGCTTATTATAAGCTAGACATAACGTTCTAAATCAATGCAAAGCAGTCGAACAAAATACGATAAATTGCAATCGCCGAGCACTTTAATTGGCAAGGTGTAGAGCCAATAGAATAGCGGTTGCTTACAATGTTTTCAGGTACGTCATATTGCCAATTTGGGGAGAAATCGTGCCTGTGAGACCGCAGGAAAACAAATGGCTGCATGATCCCCACAGACATTAATCTCCAGCAAGCATGAGCAAGCATGAGCAAGCATGAGCAAGTATTCACCAACTCAGCTTGTATTCATTTTTGGTGCTGCTTTACACCAAGAAGCCAATTTGATACCAAGTGCAAAATTCACTTCTTTCACTGGTTTAAAAAAATTGAGATTAGCATTTCATGAATTTTTCTTAGTCGACTCTAAACCTTGCGGCCATCTCAGATTCAGCTTATCATGCTTCAATCCCTAATGTAAAGGAGCCGTGAGTGAACTCCCCATTTCCACAATGTACAATACCGTTTCTGATGAAGAAAACAGGATGATGAAGGGCAGGAATGAAAGCTTACATTTCTGTGACATGGGAAATATTTGCAATGGTAACATTTTGAGCACAAGTAATGCCTTCCCATGCCGGAGGTCCACATGGGTCATTGCCTTCCCAGTTCGATAGCTTCCCCTCTGTATCGCCGATGCTCTTCTTGAAAGCTAGGAGTGCAGCCGCTGAAACCAAAAGATTCAATGATTAACTTAAGAAGTTTTATTCCAGACACAGCAGTAGTTTCAAAGCGAGGATCTTGAAAGCAGAAGCTTCACATCCAACCGCAAAAACTGCAACATAGTAAGGGTTTTAGCCATCTGATCATATAGACTATTTCAGAAACCCATACAGTGAAATCCACTTATGTTGCAGAAGGCCTCGCCTCGCAATGAGTATTTCACGTGAAGAGAGTACATATAGGCTTGTGAGTTGGCATTCTAGTATTTTTGAAAAATGATAAAACTTGTGTTAATTGAAAATGTTACAACTACGGGGAATATCGACGTGTTCTTCGGTGGGAAGCACGAGAGAAAATTTGTTATCCTAATTAGAGTACACGTGACCAAGAGCGGAAGTTAAATGAAGCACCAAAGTTTGTAGCGCTTACTTTCTGTGGGATCTGAAACTGCTCTCGCCGTCGCAAACAGCATCAGCAGGCTGGTTAAAACCAGCAACCCTGAATACATCCTGGGCCCCTTCATCTTCCGTGCTGGTACAATGACAATTACTATCCTGGGTAAGAACTATGGTAATCACCTACAGGCTAGAAATGACGCTTCTACAGTGGACAGCATCGTCGTATCGTCCTCTAACAACTGCATAACCTCGCCTCCTGGAATTTTGCTTCAGCCGCGCACTATATTACAACTAATAACTCAACTTCATGTCAAGCTTGTTGCTGTAGAACTAAGATGTTGAAGTCGCGCTGTTAATACAACGCTGTCCTCACCTGTTGCTAACCCTGACCCGTCCCTTTTCAAGTTATCCTATGCAACTTCCCTTCCTGAAGTTTGGGCTAACCAAACTGTCAAGGTGTTTTGACAAACCGGAGCAACTTTCGAATAAACTCGGACTTTCCCAGATATCTCCGCTCACAACTCTCAGATGGAGGACATGGACCTTGATACCGCAACCTCCTCAATAGTTGTCCAGATCACCCCAAAACACCGTAAATTCAGCCTAATCGCCTGATTCGTAGATAAATATGCACTACTAGTTAGTTTCGCTTCGAACGTAGGTTGCTGAAGATACGCTGTTAGTGATGCAAGGACCTTCAATAAGTAGAGGAGCGACGTTGCAACCCTGCGGAGCACTGCGCATCCTGCCGACGCAAACCTAGCTGGACTTGGCTATGGCAAAACCTGCAACAACCAAGTAAAATGAGCGTTAACTGCAGCTCTCTGAGTAAGGTGTCGCAATCAACCCCAAGACTCAAAGACTTTGATGCTGCGCTGCCTCTCTGACGACCGGAAGCTACAATTAGCGAACCGCACATTCAGACAGTGACCTGGACAGACCCCTTAATAATCGTCGAGATATCAGGGAGGCAAATGGCAGCCAGCTGCGAAGGAAAACTTACGAAAGAATAAGCGAGGGAGCCATGAAAACCCAGAAATTTCCACATAAGCGTTCCAAACAGTGACGGCACGACATCATCATTCGCCCCAGAGAAAGCTAAACACTGAACTTCTACAACACTACAGCCCCACCCCAGAGAAGGAAATTAAGCAAGGTCTCTACTAGTGCTAAGTGACACCGAAAAAACGAAAAGGCCTTAAAGTTTCTTCTCAAGTTAGCACGAGACTGACCAAAGTCGCCAACTTATCCTAGACGGCTCCTTGCTCAAAACGACGCTCAGGACCACACTCTACTGCTAAAACTCTTCTACAAAAGTTTGCACAACATGCAGCCGAAGGTCGAACCGACTTAGAAATCAGTCAAGATTGAAAGAGTCTCATCGACCGTCTGCCCAAAGTTCACCAGCAGATGTATACACTACCCCAACTTCTGACCTGACAAAGAGTTCGCAGCAATATTCAGTGAATATAATCTCCTCCAATACTTTTCTCTCCAGTCAATTTGGATCGTCAAAAGGTCAAGTGTGCAAGCTTCGAGGATGGGCCGTGGTATAATTTCACGCCCTGGTGCACAAGGTCAGAAATTACACCTCCGTGCTCACCAATGTCATCTAAATCCTCCCACCACCTTCAAAATCTAGCAACACAACCCAAAGAAATGGAAAACAACAACATTCAACATTTCCCCCGTCAAACCAGCCAGTGTCAAAACCTGCGAGAAAATGATCACCAATCTCGGGTCACCAACTCGGGCGCTCCAAAATAATAACTGGAAGAGCCATGCGGTGCAAGAACAAAATCAGGCACAGCAACGACCTAAATCACTCCCAACAATCCATCAATTGCTCGCCTCATGGAAACACCGTTATAGCGAAGATCTTCACCGTACCACAGTAGTACTACGCTGCTAACAAAGCCAAGCTAGCTTACCCGAACAGCAACGACCTCAGCTCCAACATTCCAAGGGCCATCCGCGACACCAAAAGCTTACTTAAAAGCTGGACCGGACCCACATACCTCACCAAGGTACAGCCGTGGCACCAGTGTCTATCTGCAGCAAATCAACTGGGCCTGGTAGAGGCCGGCTACGACGAAATGGGAAACAAACCGACAACCGCAAGCTATCACGGTGCCAGGAACATGGTTTATCGTTGAATCACTGCATAAACGTGTTCAAAGCGTCTCAGATCGGATCCAGGCCAAAGGCACCCACTGGTAAGACGCGATGGCGGCCTCCCCTCCCCGACACAATCACGCTAGGCACCAGGAACCAGGCCACGGTCAAACTAGGAAGTATATTTCAACATTCACCAGCGGAGGAATCTGCTCACCAGCAATGCAATCAACTTCCTCCACCCCTGGATATGCAAGCACACCACACCATCTCCCAATTAGCGTCTGGTAACCGACCAATCGGCAATTGGCAAGCGGCAATTGGTGGTGTCGTCGTGGAGGCGGCGTGAGCTTGGCCCTCGATCGTTGTCGCGACGCCGTGTCCACTGCGTCCCTGGATCATCACGGTGGTAGGAGGAGACCAGGGGGAGGGCGGTGGGCGCGGTTATAGAGGCCCTTTCTAGTTCCTTTTGACTGCCACCCCCCATGCTTGCTTTCCTTTCCTTACCCGCTTGACTTTGCTTGGCTTTGTTTTTCTACCCGTTGAATTTGGGTTTCTCGTGCTGGATTGTTTTTTTATAGCTCCCATTAATGGTGGGTCTGGTCCTTGGATGCTGTGCTGTTTTTAGGGTTCATTCTCTGTGGAGGTTTTTCGTTTTGTTGTTTTCATATGATGGATGGGTCGTCGTGTTGCTTCTGGTGAAATGGTTGGTTGTGATGTGATGATGTTGTTCTTGTTTGTTCATTTGGTTGTTATGTTTGGGAGTGGATTTTTGTTTGTGCAGTTGATTGGTTTAGAATGCAAATAATGATATCAATTTATAGCAAAAGAAAATATCACTTTACAATAAAATAAAATAAAATAAAATCTTGATTGTATTATGCTCCAAGCAGTATTTTTTCATAGAAGCAAGTATCTACTAGATTTTATACTTAAAATCTGTTAGATGTTGTTTATGGCTCAACAAAAACCATTATAGTTGCATTTAAACTTATTATGTGTCAAGAATATATTTAGATATATTTACTATTATATATTATAAACATAATCCAATCAATTGCAATATTGACCAATTTGTTTTTTTTACCAACCAATTGTTGGTCTTATTAAAAAGTTTAATTAAAAAACACTTCAATGTAGATATGCTTTAAACCTTGCTAATAGCTCCAACATGTAAACATCCTTCTTAATCTATTTTATTGTTGAAAACAATCATACAAACTTAAATACAAATTTCAACATGAAGTCTTAAAGAATTTAAAGCTCTTTATGTTCAACAACGTGATTTGATCTACTTCTAATCCAACTTCTATATTCTATTGTTAACTTCATTTTATTAAAGCTACACCCTATATTATTCTCTCATGATTGATTTTGTCCATTCTTGTCTCTGTTTCTTGATCCATGTCTACCCTCCTCCATTTCAAATCCATGTACCTTGTTTCCTATCTCGATTCTCTATTCCTTATCTTCTAAAATTAATCATCATATGATTTGGAGGTGTGCCTTATTAACTCTCTATATATATTAACAAATATATAATATATGTATTTTTTGTAGATATCTTATTCTATTAATTATATTAAATTATATATTTTTAGTAATTAAAGAAAAAAATGAAAGAGATCTCATTTACTTTCTAAAAATAAATATGTGATAATTAAATTCTATAGATTCTTGAAGATCTTCATCTCTATTATATTGTCTTGAAGGCTATGACAATGTCAATGCATTGTCTAATAATTTAGTAAATAATAGTTACTAAGTTAAATTTAATGATTGTTGATCCTTGATCTCTTAAGTACAAAAAATATACAAAAATTACAAATAAAGATGAAATTAAATCTTTATTAAATCTTATTTGTTATAAAAATAAAAATAAAAATTGCTTTATTCTTTATCTTGATTTTAATGGATGATGTTGATGAGAAGTATCAACTTTCTTTATTGCATTTGTAAGTTTTTTGATTGGTTGCTATATATATTTATTAATATTAAATCTATATCAATGCACAAAATATTCTAACCTATTGTAGAACCAACTTAAGTTTAAGACTTCTTCAACATTAAATTTTTTATTATTTATTATTTTAATAAGAAGAAGTTGTATTTATCTTCTTTTTAATATATCAAGAATTGACATATAAAGCATGGGATTGATCTTAATAGACTTTAGTAGGTATAATTGATAAGCAATTAGATTGATTTGTTTACAAATAAAAAATGACTCAAATTTATGATAATTCAACTTGTTACAAAAGTGACTAGTCTTGATATTACAACAAAGTAATTATATCTTCTTGTCAATATAGAATTGAGGTTATTTCTTACAATGGATATCTACCTTAATTTTTAATTGTTCTCAAGCTTCATTTAATTGTGATTTTATTGTTGTATACAACTTTGATAAAAGATTTGGCAAATCTTTATCTATATAATTATTAATTTATAAAAAGATAAAAGTATCTTGTTATGGATGATAACTATAATTAAAATAGAAAAAAAATTAAATATAAAAATCTATTACATAATCACAAGCAAATTCTAGAAATAACAAAAGAGTTGTTCAATCATCTTAGTAGTAGTTGATTGTACATCTCACATATTACTTCAAAAATTGATTTATATATTTTTATTTTTCTATTTTTAAAAAAAATAAAAAGCTAAAAATAATTTAATATCTTCTTTCAATATCTTAAAAATATTATTCAAAATCTTTATATAAATTGAATCCTTCTATTTAATATAGTGTCACGAATATATATCTACTATAATTATATTCTAGGTAATATGAATAGATAGAGGTAGGTAAAAATAGATTAATTTTATAATACCTTCTAAAAAAGCTTTTTAGAAGCTTCTTAAACATTATTTTGACTTCACATGTATTTGTAGTTAATTAATAGGTTAGAAACTTGGTCAACAAACTAACCATGTGTTACATGTGTTGATAGCTTGTGAAATAAGGTAATTATATAGCACCCAATAAATAACTTACCTTGCAAGTTAAGATACATATCATACAAAGTCAACAGGTTTTTAGATGTTCTATAGAACATTGTCATATAGATTGTAGATAGATAGTATGTATAGAGGCAAGAGTGAAGCCTTCTTCACTCTTATCAATTCCTATCTTGTTTTTAGTCTAGTTTCAAGAGTCTCTAATTTTGTTGTTTTTTAATAATAGCTATTTTAGTTTCTTTTTTAATATAGATACTTCTCTATTTCTATTTTTTCATATTTCTTTGAGAGAGCTTCATTTGATTATTTTCTTTCATCAAATTCTTGTCCTTGTATCATCGACATATATTTATTATAATTGTTTACCTAGGTGATATGAATAGATAGAAGTACGTAAAAGTAGATTAATTTCATAATATCTTTTAGAAAAAACTTCCTAGAAGCTTTATAGATGTTGCTTTGACTTTACATGTGTTTATACTTGATTGGTAGGTTAGAAACTTAGTCAATAAGTTAACCACGTGCCACACATGTTGGTAGCTTGCTGAACAAGCTAACTATGTAATGTCCAAATGGAAAACTTGCCTTACAAGTTAAGATATATATTGTGCAAAGTCAACATGTTTTTGGAGGTCCTATAGAACATCGTCACATAGCTTTTAAATAGATAGTATATATAGAGGCAAGAGTGAAGCCTTCTTCATTCTTGTCAACTCCTTTTTTGCTTCGAGTCTAATTTCAAGGGTCTCTAGTTTTCTTATCTTTTAGCAATAGCCATTCTAGTTTCTTTCTTAATATACATATTTAGTTATTTCTATTTTGTGATATTTCTTTGAAAAAAGTCTCACTTGTTTATTTGTTTTTATGAAGTTCTTGTCCTTGACAAATTGACAAGAGTACACTTACAATATCAAAGCTTAGTCTAATCTTAATTAAGAGTGAATTATTCCTTTTTCTTGATAAGACTTAAGTATATTAGGAATTACAGATTATCCTGTCTTGAACTTATATTATTTTTAGTATTTTTTTATTTTTTTTAAGTCTTCTCTTTTATTTGTTTTAAGTAATATCATACATTTTTCTTTCTTTAAGTATTATCATGATAGAATTTTTCAAAATGAAGAGTGCAATAGTACAAATGTAAGAAAAATTGAAAGAGTTAATGCTTGTAATGCATCAAATCAATTTACCACCACAACAAACAATAAGAATGGCAGAGAGCAAAGATATAGAGATAATTGGAGCTGCTTCAATATTTACATCAAATCATGTCTCTTTTCCTATGGTGGAATATCCTTGCAGTATTAAAAAATCAAAGGAATCAATTTAGAAAAAAATACATTCTACCTTCTATCATTGTTTGTAATTTTTGTATAATTATAGCCTTAAAGAAATGGAGAACCAATAGCCTATAGATTCAATTCAAGAACCATCATTTGCTAACTTACTAGACATGATATTACAATTATTATAACCTTGAAGACGATATAATAAAGATGAAGACCTTGAAGAACAATATATTCTTCTTCAAATAGATGGTGAGATACAATGTATTTGATATCACAACGTAGGAGGAGACTTTCAATGTTTGGTGATTTTATTGGAAATAAGGACAACTCTTGATGTTGTTGCAAATATTTTATTTGAAGAAAGTTACGAAGGTTTCAACAATGATCAAATCACGAGGTGGTCTTCTTATCCTAAAATAGGACATTATCAATGGTTGAGAGGATCTATCAACTACCTTCAAAGAAAACAAAGATCAAAGTATGTAATAAATACAATTTGCCACATCTTAGACTTCTTCAATATGTAATCACCGCTCTTCGTGGAACTTGTTCCTACAAGGAGGGATAATGTTATAGATATATATATATATATATATATATATATATATATATATATAGATATCTATTATAATTATTATTTAGGTAATATGAATAGATAAAAATAGGTAATAATAGATTAATTTTATAATATTTTTTGAAGAAACTTTCTAGAAACTTTTTAGATATTTTTTTGATTTTATATATATTTGTAGTTGATTGGTAGGTTAGAAACTTGGTTAACAAGCTAACTACATGCCATATGCATTGATAGCTTACAAAACAAGCTAACCATGTGGCGCCTATATAGAAAACTTACCTTGTAAGTTAAGATATGTGTCATGTAAAGTCAATTCATTTTTGGAGGTCCTATAGAACATCACGACATAGATCCTAAATAGATAGTATATATAGAAGTAAGACTAAAGTCTTCTTCATTCTTGTTAATTCT